GCTAGGGCCCTGAATCCACCCTTCCTTAATGTCACCCCTGCTGCCGGGGGTCATCAGATGAAAAGTATTCACATCAGCGTAGGATCAGGGGAGTTTAAGAACCCGTGATTTCTGTTCTCTCTCATAGGTGAACATCTGTTTATTTATGCAGAAAATTAAAACAAGAAAAGCTCCAAATCCTGTGGATGCAGATTAAAAAGTTAGGATGAAATGCAGGATTACGTTTAATGATACACATAAAACTATCAGCTGTATAGTAAAGTGTGTCTGATGATATGATGAGCTGTACAGGCTCAGCACTCCCAATGCTTCAGGGCAAACTGGTCCAGCGCAGAAACAGCTCTCGCTCCAACACGTCTGCGTCTTAGTGAAGAAAAACAGGTTGGTTGGAAGCAGAGCAATTACTGGGTGTGGACCTTAGAGAGAGCCGGTAGGTGTGGGAGGGAGCCGCCTTTAAAGGCTGGCAGTAGAACCTCACAACAACAGTATTTTTACTCTTAAAATAAGATTAGATAATATGAACTTAAAATAAGACAATGCAGTTGTGTTTTCTTATTTTAAATGTAAATAATCAGGTTCCGTTGGAAAAGTGTCTGTTTTACCTCCTCAATCCAAGAACAAATGAATTTATTTCAAGAAAAAATGACTCTCTAGATTTCATTTTTTTATCCAGTGCACAGCCAGGAAACTGCTTGTTTTTGCATCCAGATGCGGCACATGGAGGCATTTTTACTGCGCGTCTCTCGGGGAGCAGGGAGTACCAAGATGGCGTGAGAGATGGGTGTTACTGACAGCCTCAGCATCGGACTCTTAAAGTCCAGAGGTATTTTACTGAAGACCAAAACACAAGAAAAGGGAACGTTGTTGGTTTGTTTGCAGGATCAATTGAAACGTTAAGAAAACGTTTAAATCTTTTTTTTTTACCAGCGCTGCGCCTCAAGCCAAGGAACAGTTTATTTCAATAAGGTGACGACCCAGATCATTGCTGAGTTTTAGCTATAAGTGGAAAACACCATATGGGGCAACATTTGCTGCTTGGAGGAGATCTGCGCTCTCAGAGAGCTTTTCTAGTTTACACTGAAACCCATTTGACCCAAAACAGGTTTAAATTCAGAGAGGATGGCACTCTACAGGCCAACAGGAATCCTGCCTGCCCTGGAAAAATAGTTTACTGCTGTATAAGAGGACCCTTTGTAAAGCAAGAGCAAGGCAAGGCAAGGCAAGGCAAGGCAAGGCAAATTTATTTG